TTTTCGTGATTTTTCCATATTTTGTCAATTTTTGAACTTTAAATGCTTATAAAAAAAAATTGTGACTAAGGATTTTTAATATTTTTCATCTGCCTTTGAAACAATATATTAGGAGCCTTCTATTAAATTTTCAAGCTTTCGCAACCAACAAATAAAATTTTATTGATATTTCTAGAAAAAAAACGAAAAAAAAAACGAAAAATGAAAATGTCCCTAAACTGTTCAAAATAAATCAAAATATTTTGAAAATGTTATCGTGTATAGAAGATGCAAATATAAACAACCAGTGAAAATTTCATGTATCTACGGTCATTTGTTTTAAAGTTACACCAAAAACCAGAATCGATTTTTTGGAAAACCGATTTTGCGTAAAAATTCCCGTTTTTCCTTAATTTTTATGTTGTTTTTCCCGGCGCTCTTGAAAACTACTGGGAAATTTAAATTTTGACCTCCCCAATGCACCAACTAGATTCACTTTCCAATCGAACAAGATACTGAAGTCGAAAATCGAAGCATTATTTCGACTACTTATCGTGTACACAGACACAAAAAAAAAAATTAAAAATTAAAAAAAAAAACACACATCATTGTAAAATCAATACATTCATCGTTTCACTCAGAATCTAAAATTGTAAAAATATGGAAAAATCACGAAAATTAGCGAATTATTTTGAGTTAAGAATTCGTAAAAATTTTTCTTTTTAAATCTAAGATTTGAAAATGTAATACAAGATTACTCATAAGTTTGTCTACCTTTATCAATAAAAAAATCTCTACCGGAATGTCAAATTAAATTTTTATGAGCGTTTGAAATTCAAATTTTTACAACATTGGATGTTCACTCGATTTCTCATGTAGCGATTTCCTTATTTTGTTGTAATTCAAAAACGAATAACTGTAGTTACATGAAAATTTCACTGAATGTTTATATTAGCATTTCCTATACACCATACAATTTTGAAAATATTTTGACTCTTTTTGAGCTGTTTATGGACATTTACAGCTTTCAATTTTTTTTAGTTTTTTTTTCTATAAATATCAATAAAGTTTTATCTGTTGGGCCAAAAAGTGTAAAAATTTAATACAAGGCTCCTGATATATTGTTACAATATCAGTTGAAAAATATTAAAAATACATAGGCACAGTTTTTTTTAATAAGCATTTAAAGATCAAATTTCGACAAAATTTATCAAAATCTTGAAAATTATTAATCATTGTAAATAATAAATTATAAAATGTTCAGTTTTTATAGTTAAGGATTCCAAATTTAAAACAAATTTTCTCATAAATAGTTCATACTGCAACAAAAAAATCTAAAAAATATATGAACACAGCTATTTTTTACAGACATTTTAAATTCAAATTTGGACGAAATTACATATTAAAAAACCTAGAATAACTATTTTAGTTATTTTGTTGTGATTGAATAATGTTATTCGTGAGTACTTGAAACTTCTAAAGTGTACTATTATATATCTATGATAGTATCACGGTTTTTGTTGATGTATAACGCGTTATAAGTACCTAATGTCCTAATGGATATTGTGATATGATTAATTTGGAATTTATTATAGTTACCTATTATAGGTCAAATTTTGGTTTAGTACCATAGATTTGTATATAATATGTCTTATACCTAGACTGACATACCGTCTCCGCTCAGAATCGTTTTTCTTATACAATGATATTATATCGTTGAATTCAAATTATACTTAGTAATTATTTTCAAATAAAATATCTGCAATAATAATTTTATTCATCACTTATTATACTTATTATACAATACAGATTATTTTTTTTTCAAATTTTTACAATCTATTAATATTGATAGTGGTAAGCCATCAAAAAATTAATCATTAGGTACGTGTTTGACATGCTCTTCTTACGCAAAAATATATTAAGGGTCTTCAACCTAAGATCATGGGAAAGGCTCACAATAAGCTTAAACTTATAATTGTATTTTACTATTATTTTCCATTTGGATACCCTAATCAATTTTCTTTAATCTTATGCCCCTGTTTGGTAATATTTCAACATCCCTTATGAAAACCTAATTAATCCAAAACAAAAATTAGATTTACCGATACTCTTAAGAATAACTATTTTTTTCAACAATAAAAAAAAAAACTCAATAAAGGAAAATTATTATAGTTTTTATCTTTTTTTCTGAAATTCTCTTTTGGGTTGAAGACCCCAGTCTTAAAAGGTACATGAGAAATGTGACATTAATTATTCTAACAATTTCAAATCATTAACTGATTATTTAATGGATTATTTTTTGTTATTAGTCATTAAGTGAATATACTAATGTAACGTTCCAACCACTTCAACTCAATATTGATGGTATTTTGAATTAAATAACAAGTTGATTTTGTAATGATAGTTCAGTTGTATTTATTTAACGCGTAAAATAGACTAAGTCCAAATAATTAAATTATAAATATGTGGTAAACGGGATGTGACTTAGTATCGACTTCGTGGCTGTTCTGCTATAGTGCTCGTCGTCTCGGCTGGTGTTCGTCTGATGGACACTTGTCCATCGACGTATTTCGTCGGTTTTCCTATTAGATCCCTCCTATGGCATTTTTAGTATAAAAATGGTACATAGCCGCGTACACCTGATGTCATTTCGGCGTCCTCTACGAAATAATGTTAATTGGGGATTATATGTTTTCAAAGTTATCTATTTTTGTTGTTTACGGCTTTTTCGTCTTTTCTAGAATATGGATAATGTGCGCGTATACCTATCAGGGTTCGCGCTGTACCATTAATTAGTTCTGTGCTCTTATCGATGTGGCTGCCCTGACGCTTATATTATTACTATTATCGGGTTACGTGCCCCCTGCAGCATTTATATCTGTTATTGAATATAATATATTATTACTATTATTAATATGTACGTAGTCACAGCCCGTTACACTAATATGCTATGAAATATTCAAAGAAATACAACATGTTTACCCACTACCCAGGGTTTTGAATGTACACACATTCAAGACACAATAAAAATTACAGGACGCCATTATTTTCCTGTTAAGTTAATTGTAATAGGTAGGAAATTATTAAGTAGGTATTTAAGTTCCTATATTATTAGAGATCTATGAAAATTCTTAACACTCAATACATAATATTCCTAATTTACTAAATTACTAAATTTAAAACACTAATATCAAGTAGGTTGTAGGTACCAGGCTAATTACAGCTAACAATATTTTTTTTAATTTAACCATTGACAGGTTTTTGTTTTTTTTTTTTTTTTTTTGATAAAATCAAACATTTGATTTATTTTCTTTTATATTTGAGATGAACTGGATACTATTATAAGTCTTCTGGTGATTGTAACTTGTATGTACACATACGACATACATGATGTGTATACTATAGGTACTTAAGATAGGTATAACTAGTGATTAGGTACTAGAACTATTAAAACGACTAGGCACCAAGCAATAGTAATATGCTTATTGATTATACAACAAATTTGAATACATTTCCAACCTCACCAAAAACACTTCAATGTTGACAACCGGTTTACTTTGATTATCTTTCAATAACAATGAGAAAATAATACAATTAGGTTGAATATAAATCAATTAAAAACAAATAATAGGTACTCACAGTATAACAAAAATGTTATTTTGCTATTAAATTTAAATCTTCAGTATATTTTACTTCACAAATTTTTCTTGTTAAGCAATTTGAAGTTTTGAGAAATTGATAATGTTTTTTGTTGTTTTATTTTTTGATTTCCTGTAGGTATCTAATTACCTACAAAATGTTTAGGCTCGGGCCATACGATGCGGTATTGCCGCATGCGTTAAAATGAATTGGGGTGACGCCGCAATGACATATCGGGCCACACGATGCGTTGCATTGCGTTGTGACCGGATGCGTTAGGTATATTTTTAAAATTTTCTAATATAAATCTAAATTTGGGAACTCAAAATTAATTTAGAATGAAAAATTAATTTAGTTTCAATCTAGACTTGGTATCAGAAGGTCGATAGTCTATACCATGTCCAATAAAAGATTGTTGAAAGTGTTGTGTGTGGCAGAAGCTGCTGGAGAATTGGATGAACCTACTACTTCAAAACGAAGATATTGGGTACATCCCTTAAATTCTGATAGAGAAAAAAATAATAACTTTTTAGAATTTTATGGAAATATACGAAAGCACCCCGAAAAGTTTTTCGAGTATTATCGAATGTCGGTTAGGTCATTCGATGAACTCTTGGCTAAGATTCGTCAACATTTAACTAAAGAAGTTACTAACATGCGTAATCCTTTGAGCCCGGAGGTTAGACTGACGGTGACTATAAGGAAAGTCGATAAAATATATTTTTTACCTTAAATTGTTTGAAATTATAAAATAGTAAAAGTTATACCTTTAGTATTAAAGTCTCTCGCTAACCTTATATAACTAAATACATTTGTTAATAATAATTAATAATAACATAATAATTAATAGGTATAATGACTCAATAATCAATACAAATAAGTACTTAGGTGCTTAACTTTATAACATATAAAACTGATACAAATATATAATATATATAAATATGTCACATACATACAATATAGGTACCTATTTAAAAAAAAAAGTTGTATATATTTCTATATGGACAAAATTAACGTAGGACCGTTATAAACGTGATTACACGTATTAATATAATAATATCACCAAAAGTACTATGTTGAACTTTGTATTCATACCTGTAGGCTGTAATTTTTTATTATAATTAAAATATAAATAAGAACACGTATACGTTATGAAAAAATGTATTCTTTTTTAATTAACTTCTAAATACAAAAGAAAGAAAATGTATTAATTGTTTAAAAAAATAAAAAATTATAAACTATTAAGTATATAAAATATAGAAACTAGTACCATTTATAGGTAATAACAAATAATAAAAATAACTGTTTAACTTTTATAAGCTTCTTAAAATAAATAAAAAAAAACAAATTATTATCACTTTTTAAAATACGTAAATTTTCATTTACATTTGATGATGGTTGCCATCTTGGGGATTATGCGGAGGAAAATGTTGTTGCTTTGGTTGATAAGGTGCAGATATGTTTTCAGAAGAAGGTAGTTGAGGACATTGATTTGGAATTGGTGAAGGATACCCGGAATAAAAATATGGAGCATTATTCTGAGGATTAAATACTGGAGTTTGATAGGAATAATTATTATTTTGTGGATAAGATTCATTTTGAAAAAATTTAAGTACGTACATTTTAAATTCTAATTTTTTACCATCACTTAATTGTTTTACTTGAGGAAGTAAAGATTTCAAAAAAAGTTCATCCGCGTCAGTTAATTCTTGTTTTTCCAAGTGATCCAATAGTTTGCTCTGAAAAATAGTCATTTTTGGATTTTTTTTATTTTTTTTTGAAGTACTCGGTGGGGTGTTCTGTGCGCTTAAGGACATATCCAGTAGCTGTGATGGGTGTTCTTGGTCTGATAATGTATTCTCATGATCTTCAGCCACTTCATCTCTATCCGAAACCTGAGCATCTGATACGTTTTGTGTGTCGTTTATAAAATTTCCTGAGGTACTATTTAAATAAATCAAAAATTGTAAAAATTTAATTAGGAGATTATTGAAATTAAATAGTACTTATATTACAAAAAAGCTTTATAATTTGATAATAACTACATCAAAAATTGAAGCAAAAAATAAAATAAATATTTTAATACTTTAAACCAGAACGAAGTAAATGAAAAATTAAGGAAAAAACGTAAATTTTTACACAAAATCGATTTTGGTTTTTGGTGTAACTCTAAAAGAAAAGACTGTAGATCCATGAATTTTTTTTTTTCTATAAATATTAATAAAATTGTATTTGTTGGGTGAAAATTCTTGAACATTTAATAGAAGGCTCATAATATATTTTTTCAAAGGCAGATTAAAAATATTAAAAATTCGTAGTCACAATTTTTTGTTCTAAGCATTTTAAATTCAAATTTTGACAAAATACGTAAAAATAACGATAATTTACAAATTTTTTTGTTAGAAATTCATAAAAAATTTTCTTTTTGAATCTAAGATTTTAAAATGTAATACAAGATGTATCATAAGTTTGTCTACTTTTATCAAAAAAAAAAAATAAACTAAAAGCAATTCAAAATAAATATCTTTGGATTCAAATTTAACACAATCCGTTACAGTGACTCACTTATAACCTACTGTACAGCAGAGCGACATCCACTTAACCACCTTTTTATTGTTGACCCCCCCCCCCCCCAAAGTACCAAGTGGTGATGACATGAACACAAAAAATAAAAAATAAAACGCATGATTGTAAAATTAATACATTCATCAGAATCTAAAATTTAAATCTGATACACATTTTTTTTTAAACATTTCTAAATAGCCAATTGATAAATCTGGTTTTACATATTATATTAAATTTACCTTCTTCTATCTAAATTTGGTGTCAAAAACGATAACAAATTAGCAAAGTGGTATTTTTTCTTTATTTTTGTAGCAGCAGAACCACTTTTAATATTTTTTTCTTGGTTTTTATATTTCATATAGTTGTCGCGTACATGTCTCCATTTTTTGTCCTTTATATCTTTTGCTAAAATGAAAATTTATTTCCTTATTTATACATTTTTAAATATATTGTTAGAAATCTGTCAACTGGAACTTGTTTTAAAGCTATGCAATTTGATTTTAATATTGGGAAGAGTACAGTAGCACAAATTGTCAAAGAAACTTGTCAAATTTGTTGGACAGTATTACAACCAACGGAAATGTCTCCGCCGACTACGGAACAATGGCTTGATATAGCTGAACATTTTTATACAAGTACGAACTTTCCTAATTGTCTTGGGAGTATCGACGGGAAACACATAAGGTGTAAAAATCCACAAAACTCAGGTTCATATTTTTTCAATTATAAGAAATATTATTCTATTATTCTTATGGCTGTAGTAGATTCAAATTTAAGTTTTGTTTGTATTGATGTCGGGGCATTTGGACGAGAATCTGATTCTAATGTGTTTAAGCAATGTCCATTTGGAAAAAAATTGTATGCCAATCAGCTTAATATTCCTGAACCTAAGTGCTTACCAAATACCGATGACTCTCCTCAACCTTACGTTTTTGTTGCTGATGAAGCTTTTGCACTGCACAAAAATTTACTCAGATCTCAGACCATATCCAGGCCGTGGGCTTACAAATACTCGTCGTATATTCAACTATAGGCTTTCAAGAGCAAGAAGGACGGTTGAATGTGCATTTGGCGTACTTTCAAATAAGTGGAGAGTGTTACATACGCCACTATTGGTTGAACCAGATTTTGCGGACGACATCATAAAAGCATGCTGTATACTACACAACTTTGTCCGCAAAAGAGATGGTTATAATTTCGAGGACATGGATACTAGCTATTTGGTAGATGGTTTATCTAATAGAGGACCGGGAGTACGATCTCAAGGAATTGAGGTCAGAGATTCTTATGCAGAGTATTTCATGGGACCAGGATCCGTACCATTCCAGTATAACAAAATATAAAAAGACAACATCTACCTATGAGTTATTATTAATACTTATTAAAATCAATAATTAGTTTTTATTTATTTAGGTATGTATTTTGGAATATTAACATTTTAAATATGTATAACGTATGTTGTATGTACTTACCTATTTTGATTTCAATTATTATTAATTAATAATTTTTCACTTTACTGTAATTTGTTTTTATTCACATTAATTAAATATATGTTACCTTTTTCCTCTTTTTGAGCCGTTGAAAGTTCTTCCCAATTCGGATACATAGCGGCAGCCACAGAATTCCATGCCAACATTTTCATTGGCTTGTCGTGGTAATCGTTTGAGCCAATATCCCATAAACAAGGCCTTGACTGAACTTCGCTTATTAGTTTTTCAAAGTCGAACATTTTTTATGCGTTTTTTAAAATTCAAAAATGACCAATTGGAAAATAACGATTTTTCACCGCGTGCGTTATTACCGCGTCGTGTGGTCGATATAATTGAAATACATGTGTTTTGTATTGATAACAGTGTGCGTTGCTGCCGCACCACCGCAGCATGTTGCGGTGGAAACCTGCCGCATACGGCAACACCGCGTCGTGTGGCCTGTTCTATTTAAAACTAAACGGTCCGTACAAAAACCCAACGCATGCGGCGACACCGCAAATAGCCGCATGCGGCAAGAACGCGTCGTGTGGCCCGAGCCTTATAAAGAATGATATAATAATAGAATATAGTTAAATAGGTACCTAATAAAATAATTATAACTAACCAGCTAATGATAGGTAGATAATTACCAATTGTTCATTCATATTTCCAAGAATCTTTTCAATGAAATTGTGTTCAATGTTGTAAGCCCATGGAAATATTACAGTTGTATGTACACATAAATGTACATACTTTAGATATGATACGTATAACTAGTGAGTACCTATTAGTACTATAATATATCAAATCGGCAAGGTACCAAGCAATAGTAATATTATGCTTATTGATTATACAACAAACTAGAAATATTGAAAACAATTCCAACCTCATCAAAAATACTTCAATGTTGACAACCAGTTAGCATAGATTATCCTCCAATAACAAGAAATATAATACAATTGGGTTAAGTATAAATTCATTTAAAACAAATAATACTCACATTGTAAAAATTTTATTTTGCTATAAAATTGAAATCTTTACTATATTTTATTTTCCAAATTTTTCTTTCTAAGCAATTTGAAGTTTCGAGAAATTGAAATGTTATTTGATGTTTTATTTTTTGATTTTCTGTAGGCATCAAACTACCGACTAAATGTTAATAACGAATGATATCATAATAAAATATGGTTAAATAGGTAATAAAATAATTATAACTTACCAACTAATGATAGGTAGGTAGGTACATAATGGTTCAAACATATTTCCAATTTTCCGAGAATATTTTCAAAAAAAATAAGCCCATGAAAATATTACTCATACAGTCATACATACAATAATATTTTTACCTAATACTAGATACTGGAAAATTAGTTTGACCCATAAAATAACATTGAGACTTTATTAAATACTATGATGGGTATTTTTATGTGTAAAGAATAATTAACATTCAAAGCACATGTTGATCTTAGTACTAGATTTTTTTTTTTTTTTTTTTTGATAAACCATTTATTAAATAAATTAAAAATACTAGTACACTTAGTATATTAAATAAACATTTTAAAAACATTGTGGTTTAGCTACCTTCTTTAAGCGTACCTTGAGTTGAAGGTAGCGAGTTATTACAGAGTTATTTCCTTAGAGATTAAAATATAGCATAAACAATATAGTATTTACAAATATGACAAAAATAAACAATAAAAAACAATAAAGAAGAAGTTATAAACAAGATACTTGAATTTACAAATTATTTATAAAAACATTAGTTAAATATTTATTTATATTAATATTATTACTTAATCTAAGATACCTTTTGACATTTATTTCTAGGTAATTGAAATAAGTTGGCCCTAAATAGTCTACAAATTTCTGACCAATACATTTATTTGAATAATTGACATTTAGATTGTATTTTAAAGTTTCATGTTTATTTATATATGGATCGAATTTAGAATGATTTTTTAAAGTAAAAGATATAGAATATTTTTTATATAACAGATTTAGAGGAAGTACACCCAGTTCTTTGTAATTTTCATTAGAAGAACCAACTCGATCTGTTTTATTTAGAGAGATACGAACAGCTCTATTCTGTAAAGATATTATTGGTTTTAGTGTTTTTTCATTAAACATAATAATTTTTTTAACTTTTTTATAAGTATTAAGATATTGAGCAATTACATATTGAAAATAATGTTATGTTGTTTATTGGTACTTTAATGGTACTTAACAAATAAATTTATAATACAACTCAATAGTAAATAGCAGGAATAATAATTTAATTAATACAATTAAATGATAGACATAACATTTTGTAATTGTAATATTTAATCTATTGAATAATATTGTTATCAGACGATAATTTGTTGATCAATAATATTAATCAAATCTTATCAGAAAACGATACAAGATTATAATATCAAAACTTTAAAATTATGGTTTACCACAATATTTATATTATGGACTATGACCTTAATCATAGTTCTATGGTAGCTGGTATCAATTAATAATAATTCACAGTTTTTCTCAAAACTAGAAAAATTATTAAAAATCAGGAAATTAATAAAATTAAAATGTTGAAACGTCAATATTTTCAGAAAAATTAACTCTACAAAATGGCAATCTTCAATATTTTTTTAAATAATTAATTAAAAAAATAATTTTTTTAACTTTTTTACCAAAACATAAATAAAAAATAAAAAATAAGTTATTTGTAGTGCTTACCTCTGTGAGTCTTAATAAGAAAACAGAATTACGATATCTATATTATTTCAGGAGATATCGCAATGAGTTAATCCTCACGGGACATCCTGCATTTTGTTATGGCTAAAACAGCGCATTTCTCCGGATAAATTAGATTTTATCATTAATGCGGAAATACCTGATCCTGAAAAAGATTCTCTCCTTTACGGTATTATCAAAGCCAATATGATCCATGGGCCTTGCGGTAATTCAAACAATAGATCACCCTGTATGGAGTCAGGTACCTGTAGCAAGAAGTATCCTAGACTTTCATTCAAGAAACACAGACAGGAGACGACGGGTATCCAAAGTATAGGCGAAGAGCTCCAAAAAATGGTGGTTTTACAGTTGAAATAAATGGTAAGACACTTGATAATCGTTGGGTAGTACCGTATAACCCAGTGTTTTCACGTACATTTGGTGCTCATATTAATGTAGAGATCTGTAACTCTGTAAAATCTATAAAATACATTTGTAAATATATTACAAAAGGAAGTGATCAAGCAGCATTTGGTTTTGAAAATGATAATGATGAAGTCAAGCTTTATGAAAGTGGTCGATATATCAGCAGCTCTTAGGCTGTATGGATAATTCTGGCTTTTCCTATCCACGAGAGATTTCCAACAGTCTTCCATCTTTCCGTGCATTTAGAAAATGGCCAGCGTGTTTATTTTAACAGTAATGACTCCAGTCGTTTAACAGACATGATTAACAATCCACCGAAAACTACTCTTTTAGCATTTTTCGACTTATGTAAAACAGATGATTTTGCAAAAACACTTCTTTATGTTGATCTTCCCTCAAACTATGTATGGAAAAATGATAGATTTGAGAGAAGAAAACGTGGAATTAACGTAAATGGTTGGCCGGAAATAAAACGAGATCAAGCTCTGGGTAGAGTATATACCATTCACCCTAATAATACCGAGTGTTACAATCTTCGCCTTTTACTTCATAAAATCTGAGGTCCTACATCTTTTTTGAAATTGAAAACTGTTAACTGCACAATTCAACCTACTTATCAGACAGCGTGTAAGGCTCTAGGCTTACTGGAAGACGAAAGGCACTGGGATATAACTATGAAAGAAGCTGTGCTTTGTGGTTCTCCGTTTAGATTACGGGAACTTTTTGCAATTATGTTGATATTTTGTCAATTGTCAGATGCTTTAAGTATTTGGAAAAAATACAAGGACAGTCTTTCAGAAGATATACGACATCGAGTGGAGTTGGATATACAACCCGACAATGTGAATTCAATTATTAATGAAGTATACAATAAATGCTTAGTTACTCTTGAAGATACAGTTCTATCTCTGGGAGATACATTTTTGCAACATTATGGTTTACCTCGGCCATCAAGATGTGAAGCAGTCTTACAAAATAAAGATAACCTTCGAGAGATCAATTATGATTCAAATATTTTGGCACAGTATATAAATTTTAATGAACATTTACTAAATAATGAACAGTCCTATGTATATAACAAAATATTAGAGGGCATTGAAAAGAACACTGGCCAAACATTTTTCTTAGACGCACCTGGAGGCACTGGTAAAACATTTGTCATAAATATTTTATTGGCCAGAGTACGAAAAGATCATGGAATAGCTTTGGCTGTAGCTTCTTCAGGCATCGCTGCTACATTGCTAGAAGGAGGTAAAACAGCTCATTCTGTATTTAAATTACCATTGAACCTAACAAGAGTAGAGACACCTATGTGCAATATTTCCAAACAGAGTAATATAGCACAAGTTCTAAAAGACTAAGTTAATAGTTTGGGATGAATGCACAAAATGGCCCACAAAGGTGGCTTTGAAGCCCTCAATAGAACATTGAAAGATATAAGAGGATATAATAGTTTGATGGGTGGAGTCACTGTGCTGCTAACAGGACATTTTCGGCAAACATTACCCGTTATACCTAGGGGTAGAAGGGCTGATGAAGTAAAGTTATGTCTAAAAGCTTCGTATTTGTGGCCACATATCCAGAAAGTTGCACTTTATAAAAATATGAGGGTTCATGTGAAAGGTGACACATCTGCTGGGATTTTCGCTGAGATGTTACTTAAAATAGGAGACGGAAATTTCCCTTCATTGGAAGGTGAGATCACTCTTCCCTAAAATTTGTGTACAGTTGTTAGCTCTTTACCAGAACTAACTTCCAGAATTTACCCAGATATAATAAATATTAAGATGAAACCCATCGAATGGTTGTGCGAGCGAGCCATCTTAACTCCAAAGACCGACAAGGCAGCCGAAATCAATGAAATTCTACTAAAGGCATTTAATGAAAAAGCTGTTGAATAAAAATCTTTTGATTCTGTGATCCAATCGGATGATGCTGTCCATTACCCCTTAGAATTTCTTAATACTCTGAATCCTTCTGGTCTTCCATCACATAAACTTATCCTTAAAATTGGAGCACCTATAATGTTACTAAGAAATCTTAACCCACCTAAATTGTGTAATGGAACAAGATTGCAAGTTAAAGCTTTGCACAAAAATGTAATAGAAGCTATAGTTATCACTGGGTGTGCTAGAGGAGATATAGTTTTAATCCCGAGAATAACGTTAATTCCAACTGATTATCCCTTTGAGTTTAAAAGAATACAATTACCACTCAAAGTTTGCTTTGCTAAGTCTCAAGGACAATCATTGAGCATTTCAGGGATTGACTTAAGAGAAGAATGTTTTTCACATGGACAGTTCTATGTCGCATGTTCTAGAGTTAGCTCTGCCAGTAGTTTGGTTATTTTAGCAACAAAAGGCAGTACCAAAAATACTGTTTATAAAGAGGTATTGAGATGAACAAAATATGTCAATATAAATATTGGTGGGTTTTTATAACACCATAATGTATATAATAATGTTACAATAATAATAAGAAGTAAAAATAGTAATAATAGGAATAATACTAATAATAGTAATAATAATTATAATAATACGTAAAACATTTTTTTCAATTACAGAAAGTTATAATTTTTTGGGTATATTTTATTTCAACATTTCGTCTATTAGAATTATATCTTACAATTTGTCTTCAAAATATTAAAATAAAGTAATTTTTTTGCTGACTTCTGATTGTTACAATACATGGGCAACCTACGATAAACTTATCTAAAAGCAGCCTGTAATAAATATAAAACTGATAAAATAAAAGTTATAGTAAGTTACACAAAAAAACTGTACATGGGCGAAGCCGGGTTATCCAGCTATAAAATATAGAAATATATTACTGTTTACCCACCTACTAATAATTGTAAAATCCATAGACATGAGCTATTTTTTTTTTTGAGATTTTAAACCAAATGAAACAGTTGTAAGCAATGCAGCATATTAAAGCTTTCATTAAAATCCAAAAAAAAAAAATATATATGTTTATATTATTACTCTGTAGTTAACCAAACGAATAAATATGTGTGGTGTGTGTGCATATTTTATTGTTGTATTTATGTTATCAATTAAAGTTATAATAGTGCACCAAACTACAAAACTATATTTTAATGTTAATCAAATAAGATAAATTGATTATTATTTTTAGACAACTTCAACAAGGCATGGCACAAAAAGGTAAAAGAAAAATATTCTTATACTAATACAAATGATGATTGGTCAAAAAAAAAAAAAATATTTGTTATGTGTCCTGATGAGAGCGATGATGATGATAATGGTAATAATTTTTAAAGTGATGTATCTAAAACTTATGTCATATTTATTGGGTTATTTTAATTTTATTATTAATTAATATATAGGTTTAAATTTTAAAATATTGCCATTATACAAAGAAGTAGTGAGTACTCCATCATTTACACAAGAACCAATAAATTGTGGTGCTTCCACATCAACTGTAACTAAACCGTTCTGTGCAGAAATTAACAGAGAAGAAACTGTACACTACACCGAATTGATGCCCAAAATAGTTGGACAAATTGAATATCCTCAAAATCATAACTTCGTTGAGGTAATAATAATTGTTACAATCTTGAATTCTATCTAATATTGTAATCATAGGCCCAAATAGAAGAAGGCTTTAGGGCCAAGCCCCCAAAAATGCCCATAGACCCCAATTAATTTTATAAATTTTAAGTTTGATCATCCTTTTTAAAAATGTTGTAGTTTATTGCTCATACAGTAAAATAATTGATACATTTTATTATTAGTTTGTTAAATTTGAATTATATTTGTATGTATTTTAAAATTATAATCTTTAATTTATATCATTGAACTGCATGAAATAGCTAGCAAAACTAAGTAATTTATGTTAATATTATTATTATTATTATTATTAATATTGAACAGGATACAAGTTGTTTTATTCCTATAACTCACGATTCACCTTTAAATTTCAATGGTAAATATAATAAATTATTGTTTGCACATAATTCCAAAGTATATACCTACCTATACTTACACATTCCATAAAAACGTTCTTCAATATTTAGGATATGACAGATGCTCATCTCAAGTTGATGAAAAATTAAATAACATAATTTCAGAGCAAATAGCAATTAAATTGTTATTAAACCGAATCTTGTCAAAGCTTGAAACTAACACATTAAGCAATAATAGTCAAAAATCAATAGATCTGGATGGAAGTTTTGTATACAAATTTCCTATGAAGAATACTGAAGAATTTGGATCAGTCCAAAACTGCATCTTACATGAGTTTGATTTCAAGGCTAAATTGGCAAGTAAATATTAAAATAATAACTTAAATATTTGTTAATTTAACTTTGATGATAAGAATATTTTATCAAAAACATTGGTGGAAACACTCCTAAAAATCATGTCAGTAAGAGTTATGTCAAAATTGTTTACTGATAAATATGGGATTGAGTGTACCTGGACAGGCCGTGGCAGAAATATTAGCACTAAAATTGGAGACTCGGATCTCATAAAGATAATGAAAAGTAATTTTAAACACATTTTATCTTTTATTTAAAATTTATTTTAATCTATGTGTTAAGCACTTTATGTTAAGCACTTTATGCTTAATATATACAAAACATTTTGTTAGCAAAATGTTACCTGATTATGAAATATGAATGAATATAATATGTAACCTCGTATTGTATGACACATTTATTTAATTATCTTAGAGTCTATACAAGAAAGCTGCACTAACACTGCCATGACTGATTCTGAATTTGAGAAGGTGGTATCAGAATGGTTGAGACACGCAAACACCAGATGTAGTAGACAAACAAATTAATAAAGAACTCTACATCGTTTTTTAAAATTTAATATTTTAATAAAATTAATTTTGTTGGATAAAATGTAATAAGAGTACCTACAAATTATGTTTTATTTTAATTTTAAAATAAGTATGTTCAAACTTAAATAATAATTTTGCAATATTTTTAATTTCCCATAAGTAATTTGGTATTATCTTATAATTAACATATTAGGTATTACTAATTGATTGAAAAAAAGTTGTTGTTTAAATATAAATATAATGTTTTATGAGAATTTTTTATTGATCATTTTAGGTAAGCATTCTACGGAAAAAAAAGTCTCTTGGTTCAATATCTGACCGCCATTTCCGAAGAATTGTAGTAAACCGACGGAGTCGATTCACTATTTTTTCTACTTTATTACATTAAAGCCACGGCCTTCACACTTTTAATATGTTATTACGGATTCTCGGAACTATCAATGCACGGTCCATGGTCTACGCAGATACTATTGCTTTTTACGAGTTCCAAGAATCAAAGAACGTGAGAAGAACCAGTTAAAATGACATTTCGATTTAAACAGCGGAGCAGATTCTGTTTTATTACCTTTTGGTCACAAACTACTTTTTGGCAGCTACAATAACAACAAGCTGCCGACTCGCCTCTTTGTCCACCTCCTAGTCCCTACCGTGTATAACAGGGAGTACAGAGAACCATATAAATATGAGTCTCTGTCCGCCTTAGAATCAGAATTAGTCTCACATGTAGTACTTACCTGGTCGTAGAGTCCGCGCACTCTACATCGCCGCCAGACTAAGTACATTCCCAGTAATTACAAGTAGATTTAACTAGTTCTCGGGCAGTTACTTAACGTGCTGTCCTCAAACTTTTATAACATTTTGTAGCAATTATTTTATTTTATAACAAGTTTAACTCAATCATAATAAATACTTCATTTAACATTGTGCCTTTGTCTCTCTTCGAAAAACCTTATTCCTTTTGGTCAACCTGGTCCAACTACAGACGTCTGTCACTCAAATATAAGCGTTAGTGAGAGATCACTACAAATTGTTAATGAAAAGAAAAAAGTATGCTTATCTTATACTACAACTAAACAAAATAATCAAATTACATCTAAAACCAACACTTCTAATGAAAATTCAAGTTTCTCAAATGTTGAGAATAATACATATTTTTCAAATATTGATAATAGCATACACTTTGATAATTTTGATAATAATACCATCACCCAATCATCGATTAGTCTACCAAATTGCCAAAATCTACTTAATTCTTTGTCTGGTTTAGATACTGATAACAATAATGAAATTTTTATGGAAACCAAAAGTATTTTGGACAAATTAAGATCTTGGGTAGTCAAGCATAATGTTTCATATAGATGTGTTAATAGTTTTTGCTTATTCTAAAAACTGAAGGGTTGTGTGTCCCAACTGATGTAAGAACATTAATTAAAACCCCTAAAGTACATGAAATACAAAATTGATCTAATGGTTCGTATATTCACTTTGGAGTAGAAAACATGTTATTTCCAATTCTTGAAAAACATAATGCTCAAGTGAATATATCTGACCATATTTTAAAAATTGGTATAAATATTGATTTTAAAATAGCTAAATGTTCTAAATCTCAAGTCTGGCCTATACTTCTGTTAATATTAAATTTTAAAGAACTTCCTAACAAAGTTTTTCCTATAGGGATATATCATGGATTTAAAAAACCTCCATCTATTGAAGAATTTCTCAAGCCTTTTATATCAGATTTAATGGTTGCACTATGTCAGGGTTTATTAATTAAAGGAACTAAATTTAAAGTTCAAATTAGTAATATTGTGTGTGACGCACCGGCAAAGGCCTTTTCGTTAAATGTTAAAGGCCATAATGCCTATTTTGGATGTACAAGTTGTACAGAAGAAGGAACATACTTAAAAGACTCACCATTGCGCTCTGATAACACATTTAGAATGAATCATGATGAAGATTACCATAAAGGTGACTCTCCTTTAAAGTTGTTACCAATTAACATAACTGAGACTGTATGCTTGGATTATATACATTGTGTGTGCTTAGGTGTTGTTGAGCGATTGATTGATTTTTGGGTAAATGGAAATAAGAATGTTCGATTAACTGAAGAAAATAGGCTAAGAATTAATAATGAGCTACTCATTTTGAGATCGTATATTCCTTCAGAGTTTTGTCGATTACTTAGATCTCTAGATGATATTCATTTTTGTAAAACCACTGAATTGAGGAATTTTGCTTTTTATTTTAGTGTATTTTTACTTGAAGGAAAAATGAAAACAAAATTATACTCACACTTTTTACTACTGGTTTTTGCAATAAGAATTTTACTATGTTCAAATACATGTTATGAATACAATGAAATTGCTCTTAAATTTTTAAGGAAATTTGTAATAGATTATGGTATTTTGTATTGTTATAAACCTGTAATTTTTATTTATGTTATTGTAAGGGCCGAGGCACTGTGTGCCCTGGATTGGTCACACTGCGCCTCGTGCCCACTATACCGGAACGGACCGCGTCGGCGGCAGGGTTGCCATCCGTACGATAATTATCGCACGCATACGATTATTTCATGATTGTGTACGATGTACGATAAATCTTTACTATCGTACACAAAAATACGATAATTTAATAATTTTACTAAAATCCAAAATTAGATTTTTGTACTTTCTGAATTATTTGTTGTCTTATATTAATCGGTTTACTGTTATCTTTTTTATTGGTTTTGGTACGTTGTTTAATGTTATTTGTCCTGTTCTGATGTTCTGTGACTGTCTTTTAATATTAAAATTACCGAAATAAAATTAGCAGCGTATTTTGCTGAACATAATGTGCCGTTTTTAAGAGCCGATCACTTGTCAGAATTACTTACGGAAGTATTTCCTGACTCAGAAATCGCGAAGAATATTAACGTTAAGAGAACTATAACGACAGCGATTATTAAAAATGCAATTGGTAGTTCTCAAAAGTTCATTTTATCTGAGAAATCAAAAAAACAAAAATTTAGCCTGATGACAGACGAGTCAACTGATATTGGTACAAAAAAAACTTCCTGTGTAGTTGCAAGGTAATTAAATATTTTTTTTATAAAATAAAGTACTTTTTAATATAAATATATTTTTTTATTACAGATATTATGTATTTTTATTCATGTTATTGTAAGGGCCGAGGCACTGTGTGCCCTGGATTGGTCACACTGCGCCTCGTGCCCACTATACCGGCACGGACGGACTCGGCGGCCCGTCCAGTCAGTCTACTTTTGTAAAGGACCTCCGTGCAAACGTGACTACGTTTATTTTATACTACCGTCATTTGTGTATTACTGTTGTTACCGTTAATTAATATTTAATATATATTGTATAATACCACCACCGACACCGTACCTATCGTGATTGGGTATACCGTGAAGTATTCAATCTAATAAACTTTCTTTTATTACCGTTAATTTTGTGTAGTGTCGTTTACTCAGTCCTGACCTGTACCTAATATCCTTAATAAAAATTTAGCCGCTAACATTTCAGAAGTGGGATTCCTCGAAGGCCCCCACACGCGTTTTTCCGAGTGCGTCGATAACCGAAATTCCGAATCGTGTCCCGTTTTTGTCACGAGGTTTCGGTTCGTTGCGTAATAATAACCGTGTGCGGGAAAACCCAGCCACGTAACGTACGAGATTTAATCTTGTTTAGTCGCCCCGATCGTGAGAGTGCGCCCGTCCGCCGCAACGTCATCCCGATCGTGCGAGTGCACTCGTCCGCCGCTATGTCGTCCCGATCGTGCGAATGCGCACGTACGAGAATTGTTATCACCGTTACGAGATAACGCAGGCTGTTGTATTAGGAGCGTTTAAATACAGGAATGCACCGCTCATGGTGTCGTCCGCATAACATAGATATTAGATAACATGTTGATTATTGATTATCAGTGATTTAAGCGACAAACTAAAATTTTGAATAAATACGATATTATGGTGTGGTATTCAAAACTTACCAATTCTTACCCAAACACGTTTTAGCTATCTTTATGATGCTATTTTATTTAAGGTCACTGGTAAAATACATTTTACCTGACACAGTAACACGCTTATGACATAGGAATTTAGAGTATTTAGACATGTTCTATTTCCAACATATTGATTGAAGTAAGATAATAAAAACGTAATAGGTGGGAATTTCTGAATATGATATACTAAAATTCCATTTATATTAGCTAGTGTAAAACTTTTTTGTACTTTACGAAATATTATTTCTTTTTACAAATGGATTTTGCTTGTGATATTTGTAATAAAACCTTTACAACAAAATACTCACTAGAGAGACATAAAAAAAATGTCCACAAGGAAGAAAATATTATTTTTGAAAAATCATATTTTTCAAAATGTAATAGCTGCATTAACCTTAGTTTTAAAAAGAAAACTCTATTGATTGATTATTTAAATTGTGAGCATGGCATGTCGATCAATAAGGAAATTAATCAATTTAATAATTTAACAGGTATTTTTTTAAGTTTTATCACTACAATAATATTTGTTTAAGTCACACTTCTATTCATATTTCGAAGTAATAATCATTTCAAATATTAAAAATAACTAATGAATTTTAGATTCTGAGTTGAGCGATAAATGTATTGATTTTACAGTTTTTTTTTTTAATACAGTAAAAATGCTTTGATTTTTTTCATCATATTTTCTGATAGGAAAGTGAATCTAGTTCGTACTTTTGGGTGGTCAAAAGCAAAACAATTTTACGCAAAATCGTCTCCACTCAGAATCGTTTGTTGTATAGATACAATGATATTATAACATCGAATTCAAATTTAATTGACTTTGAATTATATTGGATTAAAAATTATTATTTATAGAATTTTATAATTGGAAAATGATACACGAATTAGAAGAAAAATGTAAATATGTACTTAATACAGGGAAAAAAAATTGTAAAGACGGTAGTAAAAGTTACTATGAATGTTGTCGTTCAGGCGCTTATAAAGAGAAGGATAAAAAAGAAAGATCCACAAAATCTCAAGGAACTAAAAAAATAAACCTTAATTGCACAAGTCTTACTATATTATAATAGCCTATTGATAAAGAAGAGTGTATTGCAACAGTGTATAGACAACATTTTGGACATACAACTAATGAGCTTCAACATTTAGATATACCAATTAACAAAAAAAATGGAAATTGCTTAAAAAATGTCTCAAGGTGTGACATTTGGTAAAATTTCAGACAAAATCAGTTATAATATTGATACTAATTTAAACCGAGAAGACTTGGTTACAAGAGTAGATCTTCACAATATAAAACGCAGATATAATTTGGAATTACAAGATGGACAATTACATAAAAATGATTCTACTAGCGTCAATATCTGGGTAGAGCAAATGAAGGAACAGGGAGAAAACAATCCTGTTATATACTATAAAAGACAAGGTAAATATTAATAATTAATTAATTAAATTAAATTTAATAATATTTTTTGTGCGTCTTATTTAGGTGAAACAGATAAAAATGAAATTTTAGATATTAATGATTTTTGTTTAATCATAATGGATCCTGGACAGTTATATATGTTACAACAATTTGGTGAAAAAAAAGTAGTTTGTTTAGATGGAACACACGGACTTAATGGATACGACTTTGAATTGGTAACTTTATTAGTAATTGATGATTATGGGTCCGGAATTCCTTGTTGTCTTATGTTTACTAACTTAAAAGATACAAAAGTTTACACTGTTATGTTTTCCGCAATTAAAACTATGGCTGGAATAATAAGTCCTAACACTTTCATGACTGACATAGTAGACACATTTTACGCAGCGTGGGTAAGAATAATGGGTCCTGTTCCTCATATTATCTTATGTTCTTGGCACGTTGATAAAGCTTGGCGTCAAAACTTGAAAAAAATTAAAGGTCTTCAAAGTACTGAAAAACAAAATAAAGTATATAAAAGTTTAAAAGTACTATCACTGATGAAATAGAGTTCAAACAAGTATTAGATGAATTTGTTTACCAATTGTTGAATGATGCAGACACTAAAGAGTTTGGTGATTACTTTAATATTTATTATGTAAACAAAGTTAAACAATGGGCATATTGTTACAGAAAAAACTTGGGTGTCAATTGTAATATGCATTTAGAATCCATGCATAAAACAATCAAATACCATTATTTAAATGGTTGTAAGGTCCAACGTTTGGACAAATGTATTATGGTGCTTAGGCGTTTTACAAGAGACAAAAAAGTGGAGCTAATGGTAAAACTCACGAAGTGTAAATCGACTTCAAGAATAAATGAAATAAAAAAACTACATAACAGAAGTGTGTCTCTAAATCTCAATATAAACTTTGATAATAATAAATGGAATGTTGAGACTTGAGAGTGAAAACAATAAACATACTTTTTATTCAATAACAAAATGTTTGGATGACATATGTTGTCCACTGATTTGCTCGGAGTGTAAAATATGTATTCATTCGTATCAATGCACATGTCCAGATTATCAAATTAAATCAATTATATGCAAACATATTCATGTTATAGTTATGGATACAACTTCCACGAATACATCAATTGTAGAATTAACACCTGAAACAGATTATCAAACATCAAACATAGGCAAAGAAATGGAACTACACATAAAAAGTATACAAAGAAGTGAGAGCTCACAGAACACTTCAATACTTCATGCCAGATTTAAGGACAAAGCAATAAATTTAAGTAACCTAATTCAAGGTGTTAATAATCCTGAACATCTTAAAGTTGCGATGCAAAAATTAGACGCCTTAACTGCATTTATTAATGTTGCATCAAATGAAAATGAAGTTATTCCATACAAAACGGACCAAAAAGAACCAGCTAATAAAAAAATCACACAACAAAAATCATTCTTCTCAACCAAAAATAAAAGGTTTAAGGCAAGAAATACTATAACACGACCAACATCAGACGAAATTAAAGATCTAAACGATACGTTACTACATAAAAAAATGTGTGGTTTTAAAAGAACAAGATAATGAACATTCATATTTTTAAATAACATTTCTTATATATTATTTGTATTTATTATTATTATTATTAAATTATATTTTGACATATTTTAAATTTATGCATTGTGATTATTGTTTTTATTAATATTACTATTGACTAAAACTATTCTATATTATTAAAAAATGTTGTACCTACCATAGACTAAATGTTCCAAATTGTATAACTCAGTTAAAACTTAAAATATACTAAATTCGCAAATTGCAATATTAATAATTTATGTTCAATAGGTATAATATCACATTATCAGTTATCACTGAGTTATCAGTTACTATAGTTATGCGGACGATACCATATTGCGCATGCGCACTATGAGCGGTGCATTCCTGTATTTAAACGCTCCTGTTGTATTGAGAATTGTTATCACCGTTACGAGATAACACTGTTCTTTTGAGAATTGTTATCACCGTTACGAGATAACACTGTTCTTTTGAGAATTGTTATCACCGTTACGAGATAACACCGTTGTATTGGAAATTGTTAACGGCCGATATTACTGTAGACGGAGCACTGGGCGCTGACCACCCGGTACTCGTGGTGAGCGTTCAATCGATACCGGTAGACGTGATAGTAGGACGCTCATGGTTGAACTAATATCGGGTTCTACAAAACCAATAACCAGTTCATAATCGAGACAGTGAATATGATCAGTCCGTCAGCAACCACGGAGACCGCGGCAACGGAGTCGTCGAAAATACGAACCGCTTTACGACTGAGCGACGTATGATATCGGACATATTAAACGGATGGAGAGTAGCAGGGATTATCTCAGATTCAACGTCACCATACGCTAGTCCAGTCTTGCTAGTTGAAAAGGGAGGTGGCGAGAAACGCTTATGCGTCGACTACCGCAGGCTCAACCTCCAAACTCAGGATCAGCCTTACCCGATGCCAGATAAAGACGATTTGCTATCACGTTTAGCCGAGGGACTTATTTTTTCCACCCTGGACCTTTCAAATGGGAACCTGCAGAAACCGTTAAGTGACGATGCCAAGCTCAAGACTGCGTTCGTGACCGAGGGAACCACCGCCAAATTCGAGCGCATGCCGTTTGGTTTGAAAGGCGCACCGGGTATGTTCCAGAAAGTCATGAATGTTGTTTTCCAGGACCTGAAAGACGCCGGCCTGGTCAATGTCTACTTGGATGATATAATCATACCATCCACCGATTGGGCGGATATGCTGCGAGTGGTTGAACGCGTGTTTGACGCGCTCAGGAAAGCCCACCTCACATTGAAACCCGCGAAGTGATAAACTGGATTTCCTTGGTTTCACTTTATCTAGAGGTGTAATCCAACCGGGACCGAAAGTCCACGTGATAAAGACTTTCCCACGTCCACGCGACGCACAAGAAGTGCGCCGGTTCCTCGGGTTGACCGGATACTTCCGCAGATTCGTAGTGAACTGCGCGAAGTTGGTGGCGCCGTTAACGCACCTTACGGGGAAAGACACTCCGTATGTATGGGAAGAGCCGCAACAACAGGCGTTCGAAGAGCTCCGGAAGCAATTGTGCGACCCCCCGGTGGTCCGAATGTTCAATCCAAAGGCAGAGGTTACCCAAGTGCACACGGATGCGAGCTCAGTAGCTTTGTCGGGCATGTTGCTACAGGGACCTACTACCACGAACCTGCACATGGTTTATGCAGTAAGCAAAAAAACCACCGCAGCCGAATCAAAATACCACAGTAGCCGTCTCGAGTTGTATGCCGTTATATGGACGCTGAACCGACTCAGACCATACTTGCTCGTTATACGTTTTACCGTGGTTACTGACTGTCAGTCGCTTATCTATTTAAACATTCAGAAGACTGTCAAACCGCAGATCGCGTGCTGGTTCGAGGTTCTCCAAGAGTTCGAGTTCGACATCAAGTTCCGACTGGGAGAACGTATGGCCCATGTTGACGCGCTGAGTCGTGCTGTCTGTCCGACGGCCACAGAGGAAGATTTTTCCGTAAAACAAGAGCTCTCCGCCCGCCTCGACGTATTCGTTGCCATGACTGCTATCGAAAGAGTACGGTTTATGCAGCAAGGAGATGATGCAACGAAAGATTTAATCCAACTGGTGTTGGCCACGCGACCCCTCACCGAGCATGAGGAGCGCACTGTAGAACGTTATGAACTACACGATGGAGTTCTACACCGCAGGTACGCCGGACGGTTACTGCTAGTTGTGCCACGTCCCATGAGGAAGGGGATAGTCATCGGCGAGCATGACTACGGAGGCCACTTCTCACTGGACTGAACCATGGCAAAAATTATGGACAACTATTGGTTCCCGGGTATGAAACGTTATCATAGGCGTGTTTACTGATATGGCCAATCTGGCCATGGCCAGACCTGAGATTCTTCCCTTGTTACCAATATTTACCATTGATAATAGAAGTATATTATTATTATATTGTTCTATGATAATATAATCGATGCGTGGTACTAATAATTAGTAAAAAAAATAATAAAAAAAAAAATAATAATAACAATTATTGTTAGTGTAGTTTATACATTAAATACATTATTATCTTCACGATAATACAATGACAAATTACCATAGATAATTCAATTATTCAAGTGTGATCGAAGAGTATACTTGCATACTAGTTACCAAAATGGTTAATTAAAATTAAGGTGTGGTATCAACCATAGGTGATAACGAAAACTCAATTTTTGGAGCACATCGAAGAGAAAAATCTGGAAAGTGATATTAGATTGATAAAAATGTTATTTATCATAAACTAGTATCTGTAACCGCATATAAAAAATATTCTCCACCATTTATGATAGAATTATGATAACAATGTGAATATGTGATAACTTTTTTATCGTTTAATAAATAATGAAACATGTCGGGACTACAACGGACGATTCACGTTTATTTTATTTTGTGTAATTGTGAAAACAAAATGAATAAAAAAACAATTCTGGACTTTTTTAAAAAGATTCAAGTTTATATTCCAATAATGGTAAGTAAATTACATTTAAATTTATTTATTTATTATAGCTGTTGAAAATATTTTAGAAATGTAATTATTATTTTAGAATCGACCAAAGTTAACGTGTTGCAGCAACATCCAGAATGTTCAGTTTATTCTAATGAGAAATCAGGTATACATACATGATGCATTATTCTAACATATATTTATATGTGAGTAGCAGCATATTATTTGTTGTCTGTAATTTAAATTTATTTTTTAAGGATCGAAAAATGTTAAGGACGTTAACATATTTCAGCAAAATCCAGAATGTTCAGAATTGTCAGTGTCTACTAATGAGCAACCAGGTATAATAAAATTACCACATAAAAATGAATAAAGATAAAGTTGTTTTATAATAAATGTCTGTGATAATATTTATGTTTTTCAATGTTTTGTGACGGCTGTTTATATGTTATGTTATTTATTGAATGTTTCTAGTATCTACATGTTATAGTACTAACCTATATTTGATGTATAAACTGTGTTTTGTAATAAACAAAAAACTACTACTCCTTCTTTTGTTATGAATGATTGTTTCAATTAGGAAACATTAAAACTTACACTTGCTGTTATGAATGTGCTAAATATATATATATACAAATCAGGCTCAAGTCTGTTACTACTTACAAGTAAATAAGATACTTGTATGTATATTATATAGTTACTACTTTACTAGTTTAGATATTAACCTATGTTGTGTTTTAAGTTATTGTATGCTTAGATGGTTCATAGTAAATAGATTTATATTCATCAAATATAAATACTCATTGTATCCTTGTGCATTGATTAGTTTTTTGTGTAGTCATTGTGTAGAAAAATTTTTCTATAAGATAAGTTTCCAATTTAATTCTTAAAATATATATATTATAGAAAAAACTGCACCTCATCCAGATGATCCAATCAATGCTTTACCACCAAACCGTTTAGAATTTCAAGCAAGAATTACACGTGGACCTTTTCAACCTAATTTTGATATTTTTCCTAGAACAGAGTGTGGAAACTATTCTCGCAACTTTCATAAAAAATAATATAATGAATATAAGTGGTTGGAGTATAGTCCAACTACTGATTCTGCCTTTTGCATTGCATGTAGATGTTTTACTTCAAATAATCTAAATGCAGGACAATAGGAAACGGCATTTACTACAAAAGGGTTCAATACATGGAAGAATATCAGCGAATCGTTAAAAAAACACCAAAAATCAAAATCTCATTTTCATAGTTTCACATCACTTTTTAATTTTCTTATTAAAAATCCAATTGATGCCATTTTAGATGAAACCAAAGAAAAAGCTCTGAGCAAAAGACAAATTGAAAGACAAGGAAATATAAGTGTAATGCATAGACTTATAGATATTACTATACTTTTAGCAAAGACGGGAAAGCCATTTAGGGGACATAAAGAAAGGGAAGAGGATAGCAATAGAGGAATGTTTTTAGAGATTGCATGTTTATTAAAAAAGTATGATCCAACATTAAAAAAACATTTAGAAGAAGGACCACAAAATGAAACCTTTATGAGTAATCTCATTCAAAATGATTTAATTAGTTCTCTACATTCTGTTCTTAAAAGACAATTAGTATTGTCTTTAAAAAACAAGAAAATATCCATTATGGCAGATGAAACAAGCGACTGCGGTCATCATGAGCAGATATCAGTTATAGTCAGATTTTATGACGAATCACTAAATAAACCGGTTGAATATTTTGTCTGTATGCAACGTCTTATAGCTGTAGATGCACAATCTATTTTTAATTCACTGGATGGGATTGTAGTAAACCAATTAGGTCTGAGCTGGTTAGATATTATAGCCGTGTGCTTTGATGGAGCATCTACCATGGCAGGAAATATGAATGGTGTTCAAGCTAAATGCAAAGAAAAAAAGGCTAAAATATTTTATGTCCATTGCCATGCCCACTGTTTGAACCTGGTATTGATAGATTCTATAGGTCGATCAAATTGTATAGTTTTTGATTTTTTTGGTACTATACAATTTTTATATGCATTTATAGAAGCCAGTTGTATCCGTCATTCTATATTAGAAACTGTAGCAAACCAAATAAATTTAAAAATTAAAAACTTTGAAATCGATTTCGACAACAAGATGGGCATGTCGATATGAAGCTGTAGCAGCAGTAAAAAATAATTACACAGCAATAATCATTGCTATCCAAACAATTTGTGATACAACCAAACAATCCGAAGTTAAAGCAAAATCTAGAGGTTTAATTTTGCAAAATTAAAAACTTTTGATTTTATATTTGCTTTAAATATGCTTCATCCTATACTATTATTAATTGTCAAAGTTAACTCGTGTTTACAAGCTGAAGAATTAAATCTATTAACATCTACAAATTTGATTCAATCTTTAAAACAAAAATTATACCAGTTAAGATCAGATACTACATTTTTTAATGATATTTATCGTGACACTGTGAAGCATTGTGAAGAAAACAATGTGGCGATACCCGAAGTAAGAAAACGTAAAATATCTACAAAGATTGATTATTCTGCAAACAATCAATACTTTGCTGACACGAAAGAAGAAGAATTGAGAGTTTCATGTTTTAATGTTGTTCTAGATGATTTACTTAACGGCTTAAATGATCGCTTTAATCAAGAAACTTTAAATCTTATCCTTGCCGTAGGAAATGTTTTAAAGCTTGAACCAACTAAAGAAAATCTTCTGTGCTTAGAAAATGCTTTTGAAGTTGACTGTAACGATTTAAATGGGGAAATTCAACTTCTACGAAATATACCTGGTGTTCCATTAGCTTCCACTACAAAAACTATATTTCATTGGATTGAATTTCTTAACCAAAATAACCAAAAAAATATTTTTTTGGAATTTCACAAAGTTATTGTACTTTTTAGCACAATACTTGTTACAAGTTGCTCTTGTGAGAGGGCATTTTCGAAATTAACAATGGTCAAATCGAAACTTCGCAGTACTATGACTCAACAAAGACTGGATTCATTAATGTTTTTATTTATTGAACAGCAAATGACAAATAATATAAACTATGACGACGTAATTGAAGAATTTAAAGTCATGACACCATCAAAACGTCGTCTCGAGTTATAATTATATGTAAATTTAATTTTTATAAAGTTTTAAAAAAAATGTAATAACTATAGTACCTACTAAAATGTTTTCTCAAAAAAATAAATATTTAGAATAAAATGTTTTTTAATGTTTTGTTATGAAATTTTTCTTGGCCATACCTGCGACCGAATCCTAGACACGCCTATGAACGTTATAAGAAACAGCACATACATATGTGTCTAGACTGTTTAGTGCACAAAACGCCGGCCGGAAAAAAAGCCCGGTTACCTGCACTCTATACCGACTGGACGTCGTCCGTTTGAGGTAGTGCATGTCGACCACCTGGGCCCCTTTGAAACAAGTACCTCCTTGAATCGGTATTTGTTCGTTTTGGTAGACAACCTAACCAAGTTCACGCACTTGTATCCCTGCCGTTCGACGGATACCGCGAGTGTGCTGAACCAACTGGACAAATTTTGTGGAGCACGCGGCATCCCTGACCGGATTATCAGCGACCGCGGCACATGCTTCACCGGTAAGGCCTTCAAAACCTTTTGCGACACCACAGGAATCAAACACACGCTCAACTCGATCAGGCACCCACATGAGAATGGGCAAGTCGAGCGAGCCAACCAAACCATCGTACCACTGTTGAGCATCATGACCGAAGACTAGGTGCATTGGGACTAGGGGTCACTGTTTCACGTGTAACTAAGAACACGTTCGTACGTGTTCTTATGAAAACGGTACTAAAGTGCGTGTTATTTAAATACACGTGTACACGGGTATTTAGAGTCCGTGTACACGTGTATTTAGAGTCCGTACGTTATGATCAGTGGTAGATACAAGGATGGGTAACAGGGGCACGTGCCCCATGCCCACCTCCCCATTGTCGTTTATAAAAGTAAACACGAATTTAATTTAATTTTTAAATCTGAAACTTTTTTTTTAATAATAATTAAACACAGTCAAAGTATAGTTATGAAAGAAAAAATTTACATTAAATGTTCTATAATAATAATTTACGATTTTGATACAAAAACATTAACATTTTCTGGTGCTAAACAGTTCCTTTTGGACGTAACGACATTCCCGGCAGTTGAAAAACATCGTTCCGAACTTACAGATGTTGCTGGTATCGACAAATATTTATTTGCTAACTCGGCTATTGAAGGATATTTTTTTTCATGTGACTTCCACCATTCAAATGGATCAAAATCGTACCTCAGTTGTGGTTCTGCTAAGTAAGAATGATATTGTGTCGAAACATCACCAGTAAATTTTTTACTTTGGAACGAATATTTTCCCTTACATCTATTTCTTCATGTTCCAATTCTTTATACCTTGGGTCAAAAAATGATGAGACTTGTCTTGTAGATACTATGTTTTCTAAATTGTTAAGCTTAAAACGTTCTTTCAGTTGCGACACTACTGTCTGTTTGAAATGTATAACGACTTCATTATCATCTTTATTTAGTTGTAAGTGTTTTTCAATCACTTTTGAAAGAAGTGGTCTAACCATTGATACAGGAGAATGTGTTTCGGCACAAAACACGGTTGTGACAATTTGCAATGGTTTTAACAAGATAACCAAAGTTTCCATTTTTGTCCAGTCACTTTCCGTAATTTCCAACTTTTTTGCTATTGAAATATTTGTTGTATTACGATCTGCTAAGACGTTTGTCACAGCACATCTATTAGCATAAAGACGATCCGACATCATATATACTGAATTCCATCTTGTTTTACAACTTTGGATTAGATTTTGTTGTGTTAATCCGAGCTGCTCTTGCATTTTTGTTAAAGCATGCTTAGCTACATTGGAATGTTTAAAATGACCAACCATTTTACTACTTAACTGAATTAGTGTAGTGATTTCATCTCGTCCTAATCCATTGTTGACCGCGAGTTGAATGCTATGAGCAGCTCACGTTACATCGTATGTTTCAGAGATATTTGTCAATAACTGTACAGCATTTATTGCATTTCTCGCATTATCTGTGACAACTGTCATAATTTTCCCACCAATTTCCCATTTGTCAAACGTATCTTCTAATTGATGAGCAAGATTTACAGCAGTATGAGATTCCTCCATTTCATGTGTTGAAAGTGTATACGACTTCGGGCACCATTGATCATCAATTATATGAGTAGTAACTGTAATATAGCTGTGTTGAGATAATGATGACCAACAGTCAGATGTACATGCTATACTATTAGAATCTCTTAATTTTTTCTGTATTATTTCTGTTACTGACGATCTTAACGCTTTCATTCTAGATTTTATTGCTCCTTCTTTACAAATGTTATAATTAGGTTCAACAACAACCATAAATTGTTTAAAACCTTCACTTGAACAAAAAAATATGGGCATTTGATTCACGGCTATCATTTTTGCCAATGCTTGATGTATCTGTTCGGTTTTTTCAGAATTGCAAATTTTGTCATCCTCCCGATTTATAAAAGTTCGTCGTCGTTTCCTAGGTATTGGCGCGTCAATTTCCAAACTTTGTGATTCTGAAGAACTTGCAGTCGTAGTTGAACTGGTTAAGATATCGGAATTATCAAATTCATGACCAGAAACAACCCTTTATTAATGACAAAATATATAAATAAGTAGGTACCTATGATTAGTGTTTTAAAATTTTGAATATTTTATTTTAAATATATTGTGAACTATGATGAAAAATCGATGCATTCCTAATTATTATTTACTAATTTTAAGTCTTTACCTATCTGGCTATCTATATACATAATAATATATATAATTAACATAATAGGTATAATATTTCTGTTAATAAAACAGCAAAACATAATTTTACTTTAAAAATCAGATATTATTTCTAAATAAATACAGTGTGATCACGATAAGTGGAAACACTCAATAACCATGTGTAGACTTAATATAATTTTATTTTGTTATTTTGTTATTTGTTTAATTATGATACGTCTTATATAAAAAATATTCTTTGTAACAAAAAAGATAATTTATGGTTTATGAACATAATATATATTAGATGTACTTACCTTCGTGTTACAGCTGTTATCGGTGGTTTTATACTATGTATAGTTTTTAGATGTCTGCCCAAAGATCCTGTTGTTCCACCAATACAACAAAATTCATTGTTTTCATTTTCGGTACACAAATCACAGTAAGCTTTATCGCCATGCTGTTATTTGCCAACTTTTACACTTATTACTCATCTTATGAACTAATAAAATAGTTATCTATTGTTATTTAAGCATGGAAACATATGACAATGTACACAAGACGTGAACAACACACAAATGAAGTAATATCACTCCAACTCGTAATTTAAGTTTTATTAATAAAACATATTTACGAATTTGAGATAATGTTGTAATCTTCACTATTAAATATCTATCATACTCGTTAAAGTTGCTTCAAGGACGTCGTTCCGTAAATTAAAGTTAAAAATATTAACTCTAGATTTTGACCCGCTTGCCGTACTGGCTTCATCTGTCGGTAAATGTCAATTATCGGCCGATAACAAACAATATAAGAGACAAAATAACTCAGTACACGAAAATTGTATAGCACACGCCAGAATAACATGGCAATATTATTAATAAAAAAAAAAGTATACAAGTTTCTGGATTTTAAATACACGGGTAATCCTAATACACGGGTATCTGAACTTTTAATACACGTGTATTAAGATACACGTGTATACGAACTTTAAAAACACGTGTAATTAAATACACGGGTATTCCTACATTTTATTGTACAATGTTCGGACTACGTGTACACGTGTATATTAATACACGTACCAAATCGAGAGCTCTAATTGGGACGATAAGGTGCCGGAGGTCGAACGACATCTCAACTCCGCCGTCAACAAGACAAGTGAAAAGTCGCCTTTCGAGGCACTCCACGGTTACAAGATATATATAACCAACATACTAACCATTGCCATAATGAAGTTCCTTATGTTTTTATTAAAGAAATAAAACACAATATTCCTAAACTTTTCTTTGATATAATCGCACAACTTTATCAAAAATTAATTTTAAAATACTCAAATAAAACCATTAATATTTCAAATGAAAAAGATAAATGCATTATGTTATTAGATAACTCTCTAGTTTTTGTCGAACAAATAGCAAAACCATTGAACCAAGATGCATTTTTAATTGTGAAAAAATATTTAGAACCTAAAGAACTAACCACTAAACCAATTTCATCGGTTATAGTTGGTATGTACATTGTAAGTACAAACAAAATATCTGATATGTATTGTGTGAATATATTTGATATCAAATTTAAATGTTTAATTACAAAATTAACAAATCTGTAATTATTATTAATTTATGTCATATAGTTTGAAATTACCTAACCATAAAATTATATTAATTGTTTATGTAGTCATAGTGTGTATATTTATTATACTAATAATAAATATCTAATTTTAAAGTATTAATTTGTATTTGTTTCATTAGGTACTTTAAATTTAAATAAAAATATATAATTTACTTCTTATATTTTAACACTGTCGACTTGTAAAATTATTAATTGTTGTACCCAAGGTGGATTGATAAGGTGTAAACACTTGGCTTATTAGTTGATTGAAATATTACTCCAGCTAAGCTCACCGCTAGATTGCGTTGCCTACCCGATAGAGGAGCAAAAATACACAGCTTCGTATGCAAGATTTAAAGAAAATTTAAGCAAAACACAATAACGTACCATTGTATTTGTTAAAATATGAATAAATTATAATTTTTTAACCACAATAAAAAATGTCTATTATTTATGAACTATCCCTGGAGTCAAAATTTGCTTTCTGATTGGTTTAATTGGTGGTAAAGAAAACAATATAGTAGGATCACAAATAAATACAAAATACAAGGAATTGGTGCTTGCATTAATTCTTTTGTATCAACATCAAAATTATTAATTAATGAAAAATCGTCACACTATACTAAATTTTCATTTAATTTTTATTGTTTTGTTAATATAAATTTAGAACATTATAAAATGCCTAATTTATGTTTTGTTCCTGGGTGTAATACTGGTTTGCCTAATGACCGAAAGTGTTATGAAGGTAAAAAGTATCCATCCAGATTTCATCCACCTGAGGTACCTTTGTAGACAAATTGTAGTTTAAAATATTAAAATATTAACTATTGTATTATTGTTTCATATTTCCAAATACTAATCAGTTAAAAAAATATTATAAGTCATAACATATAGCATATTATACTGAAGTAAAATTGTAATTTTTGCTAACCTAATTTAAAATAGAAATATACCTCATTATTAATTTTATCACATTATAGTAGAAAAGTAGAAAAGTGAATCTAATCGGTAGTCGGTACATACATTGGACAAAATTACATATATTATTACTAGGGCTTGGATTTCAATGCATTTGCATTTTTTTTTTTGGAATGTCTTTCACTAGGCTTTCCAAGTTACAAATGTGTTTCAAATATTCCATTTTTTCATACTCATAAACTTACCTACACAAGTTTAAATGTTAAATGCATTTTTTCTACATTTTTAGTGCATTTTAATCCGAGCACTCAGTGGCGCAACCAGGGCGGGGCGTTAAGGGTTTGTACCCCGTCCACACCTGAAATTTTTTTCTAGTTGCGCCACTCCGAGTACTTGATATTACCTATCATAATACAAATAGCAAAATAAATTACTTTAATAGCAACATTTTCAATTCACTTTTTAATAGGTATAAAATATTAAATTTTATTTCTATTATGAAAATATTAAATGCTTGTATATGACTAAAATTTGTGGGTCAAATCAACATCCAGATCCTAAACAATTTGTCCAAATATATCGGTTACTCTCGTGTTACTCTTTGATAAAACCACCAAGAGGGAGTAATGTAGATGGTGGAGAAGTAATCAAGACACCTCTTGATATTCAAATAAATAATAGTGAAGATATTCAGAAAAAAGCAGATCTAGAATTTGAATTGGACTATAGGTCTATTAGACAATGGAGGCTTTGAAATATGAAGTGATCACTTATATTGCGAAAATGTAGATAAATTAAGTATTGATTCAAGTGCTTTAACCTATTTTGTTGGCTATGTTGCACGAAATGCAAAAAAAACATTCATTTCCAAAAAATTGCACAGCTTGCTTTGATTCAATAGTTTCAAAGAAAATAAATTCTTTAGCTGACAATGAAGTGAAGCTCAGAAGTGAAGGTTACTTGTTCACACCAACAGATAGCTTAATGAAACTTGTTTATAGCTTGGAAACAGCCATAATCAATGTTCTGAATAACAATCAGATAAATAAAAATATTTTAGAATATGGTTAGTACTTATAATTTTTAATAATTTAAGATGTTTATACTTACCTATATCATAAATATTTATGTATTTCTTTTTTCATTTTTTAATGTATAGTTATGGATGGAGTAATTTTTCAAGGCATTGAATCTAAAGTTGGTTGTACAGATCATGAATATGAATTAACTAAATACATCGTAAAATTTTACCTAAATACAAGAATGATTTTTGCCTGCAAAAAACATAACAACAAAGTGTCAGACCAAAAAAAAACGAAAAACGTTTGAAAAAAAATTCTAGATTAGTATAAACAAGTATAAAATATATAATTTTCTAATTGTATACCCATATCCATAGTGTAATAACGAGTAGATTATTACTTCAAGCCACAAAATTTGGACACATCTTAATTATATTATATAATTTATGAATACAAAAA